TGGGGTCCTCTCTCTCTCTCTCAGGCATTGTATGGGCAGCCCTGGGGTCCTCTCTCTCTCAGGCAGTGTATGGGGCAGCCCTGGGGTCCTCTCTCTCTCTCTCTCAGGCATTGTATGGGCAGCCCTGGGGTCCTCTCTCTCTCAGGCAGTGTATGGGGCAGCCCTGGGGTCCTCTCTCTTTCTCTCAGGCATTGTATGGGCAGCCCTGGGGTCCTCTCTCTCTCAGGCAGTGTGTGGGGCAGCCCTGGGGTCCTCTCTCTCTCTCAGGCATTGTATGGGCAGCCCTGGGGTCCTCTCTCTCAGGCAGTGTGTGGGGTGGCCCTGGGGTCCTCTCTCTCACTCTCTCGAGGCAGTGTATGGGGCGGCCCTGGGGTCCTCTCTCTCGGAGCGGTGTATGGGGCAGCCCTGGGGTCCTCTCTCTCTCAGGCGGGTGTGTGGGACAGCCCTGGGGTCCTCTCTCTCTCTCAGGCAGTGTATGGGGGCGGCCCTGGGGTCTCTCTCTCTCAGGCGGTGTATGGGGCGGCCCTGGGGTCTCTCTCTCTCTCAGGCGGTCTTGTGGGCCTGGGTCTCTCTCTCTCAGGCAGTGTGTGGGGGCCTGGGGTCCTCACTCTCTCTCTCTCAGGCAGTGTATGGGGCAGCCCTGGGGTCCTCACTCTCTCAGGCAGTGTATGGGGCAGCCCTGGGGTCCTCTCTCTCAGGCTGGGGAGCCCTGGGGTCCTCTCTCTCTCTCAGGCAGTGTATGGGGCAGCCCTGGGGTCCTCTCTCTCTCTCAGGCAGTGTATGGGGCAGCCCTGGGGTCCTCTCTCTCTCTCAGGCAGTGTATTGGGCAGCCCTGGGGTCCTCTCTCTCTCAGGCAGTGTGTGGGGCAGCCCTGGGGTCCTCTCTCTCTCTCAGGCAGTGTATGGGGCAGCTGGGGTCCTCTCTCTCTCTCTCTCTCAGGCAGAGTATGGGGCAGCCCTGGGGTCCTCGCTCTGTCTCTCTCACAGGCAGTGTATGGGGCAGCCCTGGGGTCCTCTCTCTTTCTCTCAGGCAGTGTATGGGGCAGCCCTGGGGTCCTCCCTTACCTCTCTCAGGCAGTGCATGGGGCAGCCCTGGGGTCCTCACCTCTCAGGCAGTGTGTATGGGGCAGCCCTGGGGTCCTCTCTATCTCTCTCCCTTTCTCAGGCAGTGTGGGCAGCCCTGGGTCCCTCACTCTCTCCCTCAGGCAGTGTATGGGGCAGCCCTGGGTCCTCTCTCTTGTAAGGCAGTGCATGGGGCAGCCCCCTGGGTCCTCCTACCTCCTTGTGGCAGTGTATGGGGCAGCCCTGGGGTCCCACCTCAGGCAGTGTATGGGGCAGCCCCTGGGGTCCTCTCTAATCTCCCTTGTAGTGTATGGGCAGCCCTGGGGGTCCCTCTCCCCTCACCTCCCTCAGGCAGTGCATGGGGGCAGCCCCTGTAGTCCCTCTCTCCTCTCAGGGCAGTGTGTATGGGGCAGCCCCTGGGGTCCTCGCCTCTCTCTCTCAGGCAGTGTATGGGGCAGCCCTGGGGTCCTCTCTCTCTCAGGCAGTGTATGGGGCAGCCCTGGGGTCCTCTCTCACTCTCTCAGGCAGTGTATGGGGCAGCCCTGGGGTCCTCTCTCTCTCAGGCAGTGTATTGGGCAGCCC